CTTGCAAACTATTTGCAAAATCTGTCCAAATATTTTCACGCGAGATAGCTCGTGATGAGTACGCAATTTACAAATTGTACACGAATTGCATATAAGTACGATCGTCAAAGAGAGCACGATTTATTAAATTATTCACCTTTATATCGTTTGACGCAATTCTATGCGGAATTTACGAATGCTATTGGAAGATCTCAAACAGAACTTCGATACTAGGATCCTTTAGAAAAGCGCAGAAGAGAACGTTATCTAATAGATATTTACACTGTGATGAGATTTAAAGCTAGCGCTAAAACTTGGCGCACAAACAAAAAAAGTATACAAGAGGTTTGTTCGCGTCGCATGCTCCAACATGTTCCAATATGCTCCTATCATAGCTCTTACTCACTCCAACGCGCTTGATAGAGTGAATAGGAGCTATGGTAGGAGCATGTTGGAGCATATTGAAGATTGCGACGCGAACAAACCTAAAGACGTCAGAAATATATACTGTCGGTCAGTAACTTTGAACTCTTTCTCTTGTTAGTCTTTCATATATTAAAGTCATTAAAAGTTCTAATTATATTATTGCATAGCAACAATTATATAATAATTATTATATATTAAGACATGAAATTTCGTTTCGAAAAATTTAGTAAATTTTCAATAATATTATTGGTTGTTTCTTATTTTATTTTGTCTTGTTTTCTGATGAAAAAGAGCTGATAAAATATAATTTGAGCATGACATTATCTTTAAACTTGATTTTTAAAGAGTAACATTCAAGTTGCTCACCAACAGTGTATATACAACACAAATAAACATTTAATAAGCTTGTGAAAGCCTTAATTATATCAGCGATAAATTGCTCGATAAACTCAGAAAAGACAGTAAATAAATCGGCAATCGGATATATAACGCCTAATAACATAAAAAAAATCACAGTTTCATTTAAGTCTAGATTCGTATGTATACATAAGCGGTATTAAATAATTATACTATTTACAATCCCGAGGAAAGCCTCGACGCGACCTATCAAGCCACACGAGACACGCTCTAATAATTAATCAATTAATAATATAATGTATCCTCTCGATCAGCCCCATTCGAGAACGACAGTATATCTATTACGAGAGAGGTCTGGCGAGAGAGAGAGAGAGAGAGAGAAAGAGAGAGAGAAAGAGAGAGACCGCCGGTCGATAGTTATATAACATTTATATATAATGTTCGTCTCGTGCTCACACTTGTGAGTACAATTATTTTGATCCGGTACTTTGACATGGGTGAAGTTTTTTCGTGCTTTGTCGTATTAAAATAAAAGACAAGCAACGATAAGGCGTTTCTCGATAAAAAGTACATTCTCTAACGTAATTTCAATAGTAATTGTATTCTAGAAACAATAGTGAATTTCAATATGAACCAGTAGTTGTTGCTTTTCTTTATTCGCTTAACATGATTCTAATTTAAGACCTGCTGCTAAGGAATTTAATTATCGCAAGTATTTAATCAAATTCTTTTAATTATCGCAAATCAAAAAGAATATTTGAAAAAAGATTTAATAGAATTCTAGCGACATTTTAATAGAAAAACTATTGCTAAGTTAATTATTTGCGAGATACAATAATTTCTACTTGCGATCTCTATACCTTCGCCAAATTAATTACTGACTCGTACGACACTTAATTACGTTTCAATTTTCGATTCTATTCCGCTCATAGCCGCTATCGCGGCTAATGTTTTTTACTTTACTACTGCATTAGCATAATTGCCACTGACAAACACACGCAATCCCGTGGGACGCAAAGGGAAAGGGTTGCTTTGATTGAATATACACGTATTATGCATATAATGGCGTTCACGAGAACATCTCGCATGTATAAAAGTTTATCTCTCTCTTCTAATATCTCGCTATCTCTTAAACGGTAAAGTCTTTTCTATGAGGACAGTCGCCTGATGGTGATACTCTACGCACACAACACCACGAGAAGTCGAGATCTACAGTATCATAAGAAACTTAAATTTCAGATTTTAATTCGGCATTTACTATACATATCATTCTTTTAAATACTAAAACGCACTTATGTAGTTTCGTTGGGATATTTAGAAATTAATATCCGGCTCTAATAAACGCGGACAGACGGAGGAAGTTATTTTTAACATTGGTAAAGCTTGTATAACATATACGTGAAATGAATTGCATTATTCACCCCGTTCATGTATGCAGTTATTAAACACATCATTAATGTATACAATCGGAAATGAGTACAATTAATGAGAAATGCCAATAAAAATCGTGGACTAATGGCTATAATTAGATATGAGTTGATTTTATAGAATATCCTGACAGCCTCAAAATGCGAGCATTGTCCGATGCTCTAAATGCTTAATACATATCCGCTTTCACATTTTTCAGCGTTAACAAAACGACTGTATCCCTTAAAACTTTAACTCGCCCGCCTCTAACATGCGACTGGCACACTATGCCTTATACACGTATATACATCATGTATTCGATAAAATTAACAAGACATGAATACGATTTCGTGACCCATTGTCTTTTATCAACGTCTCTATTTTTTTATGGCTAATTTTCACACCTTTACATATCGATGATCTACGTACATCGATTATCTATCAAGTATACAAAGTATTATTCATCTTTTGGAGCTACGTTTGCGTATTTATACATATATAATGTATATGCGCATTCGTGTCAAATTAACACCAAAAGGACCCATTCTTTCAAATAAAAGATATTTTATACAGCAATTTTTATTCAAAATCGTAGATCGAGATAATTTTCGATAACTCGTTCGAGATCACTGTTCGGATTCTTTCTGTGTTAATTACTAATTAAGCTATTCATCAGTCACACGACACGGAAAATTAAAACTTTGTGCGATAGATGATACGCGAGAACACAGCGGCCGTCGAAAGCAATGTTCATTGAAAGTTTTATTGAACATTTCTTTATATCGTTTTCTATATATATATATATTTATATGTATAAATTTTTATATCTATAGCATAGAGATATAGATATCAAGAGTTGCCTTCTTGCAGTAATAAAGTTTCGAGTAGATCCTAGCCATTAAAAGCCATTCACGGTTCTAACTATGAACAGTGTTTGCTATCGAGAGCCACTATCGAAAAATAAAACTCTAATGTACACATCCAGTTTACTTCGGACGAATCTCTCTGTTGGATCATTTTGACTTAGTGATAGTAAGTATGCACAACGCGCGATGAGATCTCCATCTTTTTATTAATAATTTTTTTTGCCGATGATTTCTCTCCTTTATTTCGAGAAGCACATCTATTATTATTATTGTAGTCGTTAAAGCTACTATCTACTATTAATTAATATACTACTATTGTTACTGTCGCTGCTGCTGCTGCTGCTAAATACTACTAAATTACACATTTGTTAGCGTCTCATTATTATTCTTCCTCTTTCTATTAATATCATATTATCAGTTATTAGTATCATCAATAATCAACATAATCATTAGCGATATATTGTTAATCTTATTATTGTTATTGTTATTTAAAGTTTACTATTTATTGTTGTGGTTACTTTTGTTTTTGCTGTTGCTATTATTGCGAGCATGCTCTTCTCAGTGTGTTACAAGCTGCACGTTAATTCCCTTGGTCCTGGTCCCAGTTCCTGCTACTTATCCGCTTGTGTTCGCAATGACGATCGAAAGGATGACTCAGTCCTTACATATGTAGCGAAGGTACACTCAATCAATTAACGTATTATTATCGGACCATCATTGGACGTGGCTAAAAACCTCAACTTAAATTCTACAAACGTACGTAACATAAAACACTGGAAGACTTTACAATGCCAGGAGTATTATTCATAATTTCAGAGATCACACCGTATCTCGTAATCAGGGATACGCCACCTACGAATCCTAAAATCATAGGGCTATATACATTCTTCGCAAATGGACATTGATTTTACATTAATAACAGTTGATAACATAATTTGAAAGATGAGAGCTATTTAAGACGTTGCAAAGATCGTGTTCAACGGTGTACGATAGATTGTGTGATTTATCAAATATCGTGATCATTGTTCATCCATTTCGCTCAATAAATGCAAATTTCCAGCATTCGTGATTTAAGTTAGATCTCAATTATCGTGCCTAAATTAATGACAGTAAAAAACTACGAAGAGAAAATTAATATTTCTACAATCCATCTATTCATCATACATTTTAGCGCAACACAGCGTTTTTACCTGAGATACGAATGAATCGTTATATGAAAAAAGAAGACGTTAGAATGTACAAATGTATAACCGTCCTTTTTTTATCTCAAGGGTTTTAAAGGATTGAGTAGAAAACACTGATCTCCTTCATCTATTTCCATTTCTTCGGACATTTTCATAAGTTCCGATGACAAAATCAATTGTGCCTTGAAAAAACAGTGACGCCTATTCTTTGGCAATGTGTACAATAGTTTCTTCCAGATAGATCTAAGCTTATAGCTTGTATACGCGATTATGTGAGACAAGGCAGTGATTACAGCACGTGATAGAGTTGCTATTTTTCATTATCATTTATGATGCACCCGACAATTTGGTTTAGTTAACTGAATTCATTTTAATGCTTTAGCACTAACTATCCTCTTTTAAAGATTATAGTTCTATCCGTGATATATACATAAATGCAGAACGATCATACGAAACGGATTGAATCCAATCTGTTAAACTCGTGATAAACTCGCAAAACGCCGTACATCGAAGTCTGTCTTAAAGAGACATAGATTCTTGACGTTACTTTATGTACTATCTAGTACATATTATATACTTGCGAAAGGTAGAGGAAAAATATCTAGAGATTGCGAAATATATATATACATATAAATTTATAAATATATAAAAATATGTATACCAAAAAAATTTTTTACAAAGCCAATAAGATTTGCAGGAGGTGGATTCAACTCGTTTGGCATTATCGTCTCTCAAGTAGGAAACGGAAATCTAATTAACCAGAGCTGATATCATACAACGCCGAGCCCTTAGTTTTTGCAGACGTTCTTCTTCGCGTATTAACGTTGGGTACTTGTCTAAAGCGACTCGTGTTTATCAATAATAATCAGTGTCCGTACAGAATGAGCTAGGAACCTACAGCGGCTATCTTACATATATCTGAGAAATATCTCTAGTTTTCGCGGCTGTTTCAATTACAACTACGAATGCCATTCCGTTGCGAATAGAATCTCGAATTTTTTTCATCGGATGCCGCCGGTCGTGATGAGATCTAATCGTAATATACAACACGCACCGCCGTCCTTACAGAACGATCTACCAAAAGTCTATCTTAAATGTACAAAGCGCTCTCTTTTCGTTTCTCTCTCCTTGGCAATCTTAGAAATGGTCTCCTGCAAGTACGGAATCTCTTGCACCGTGCAGATCCAGCATAGATTCCAAGCTTCGCGACGTAGCGTCTCTCTTTCTCTTTTCTATTATGTATCGCAGAGTATGTACGCTTTTATTCTCTCTCTCTTTCAGCGCTAAATCAACGCGGCTTTGTCTGAAATCACATTCACACGATGCTCTGTATATTGAACACATATTGCGTATTGCGTGTGTGAGTATGTGTATACATATGTGTGTACGTATTTACATTTATCTATTATGCATTTGTTGGAGAGTGCATCTTTTAGCAAGTGCATTTTTCATTCCTATTACGAGAATATATAGCGATCATTCCGCTAATAATAATCTATCTCGACTCCGCTGTCTTACTACTGACCTCTTCGTCGGCGGCAGGTTGGATGGTGCTCGCCGGAAGCGGTTGCTGCTGCACTTGCAGAGGAGCGGTTCCGCTCGCCGCTGTGCTCGCCGCACCGTGCGACGGGGCCGCCGGTTTACCGTACTTAACGGTATCCTGCTGCGGTGCGCTTTGCGACTGCATTTCCGGTCTTCGGAGATAAGCGGCTGCCTCCTTTTTTGGCGGTACCACTGGCTTATTCGGTGGTACCGGGGGCGGCACGCCGCGCGAGATCGGTGGCTTTTTCGCGGGCAGGATACCACCGCCGCCGCCACCACCTGCACCACTGGCGGCGGCGGCAGCGGATGCTTGAACAGTGGGGCTTGCGGCAGGACTTGAAGACTGGCCAACGTGAAAACCGAGCTTCCCCGCAGCGGCGACGGCGGCTTGCGACGACGTGATAAGCTTAGCCGCGGCGGCAGCCGCGGTACTAACGGGAGCAGGTACAACCGGCTGTCGCTTCTCTACGGCCTAAGGAATGAACATACAACCATGACCGATTTCAGAGAGCCGAGCAGCTGCAGAGACGGTCGCTTTCGTACACGCTCCGCCGCTCCAAACAAGAACGAGCACACCGTTAAAAAAAAACGTTATTCTCGGGCTGCAAGGGATGATGGAAGAAAAAGAACCATACCAAAGAACTAATCCAAAGCAGAGAGAGAAACAGAGACAGACTCGGTGGAAAGTAGGGACGATAGCTACGAAAAAATGGTCAAAGACCGCAGAGGAGAAGAGAGAAACACCGTTATTTAAGCAGCAAACGATCACAACTCAGGCCGAGGTTTTCGAGATGCTGAAATCAAATTGTGCGTATATCAACTTGTGCTGTTAATAGATAATTGCAAAGAAGCATCTTTTGTGGTATACTCGTAAATCATCAGAGTAAGACATATTTGAGACGCAATTTGAGTTACACAACCAAGGAATATATTAGTAAAATTTAATAGATATTTCAGAGAATACACGAGGTACAGGAAAGACTAATTTTTAAGAAATAAATATTTCAATCTGCAGACTGTATTGGGATGTTACTATATAATAATTCCAATTTAGCCAAGTTCGTCTATTTGTTAAGATGTGCTGCAAACCAACTAAATAGTAGAGTACGTCAAAGTTCATGAGACCGTAAGACCGTATAATTTAGTAGTTGCGATTACGCTATTGCGATTAGGAAGTCAAGCTGGGGCAATTTGTAAATAAAGCTCAGAAATGAGTTGCATACAATCTTTTTTTTAATTGTAGGAATCGGTCGATGTACACATGTGAAATAATAATAATCTTATGTACACAAAATAAAAGTATCATAATAAAATATAACTCTAGATATCAATAATGTGCTAACTTATAAGATTGGTATACATATAGTGGAAGTGTATGTAATATTGCGAGTGTATAGTAATTGTTACATCAAAATTTTTAAATAAGTCGTGTACGTGTGAACGTATATATAAAAGTATATACATGTATAATATAAAATAAATTTTGTTGAAAATAATCTTGTGGATATTTATAGTGATCTATTTGTGAAGAAACGATTCTTTAGTGCCTCATTTGATACGAGTAACAGAAGTAGCGAGAATATAATTTGAAACAATGCGACAGAAATATCTTGTGCATCAAATATAAAATTAGATGTAGAAGTCAAGAGAATTATTCAGAGCAAGCGAAACTCACTTTTCTAATTTAATTTTTTAATTTATTTCGTTTTATAAGTAATATTCAATATTATTCTGTAAATATTTCTATATTGTTATATGATTTAACAGTGCAAAAATATTTCGTATTTTTGTTTTTTAGACAAATGTAATACGCATAAAAGAACAAAACAAATTCATGATTAAACATGATGACATAACCAAAGTGTATACGTGCTTTATCAGAAAAATTAATAAATATATATAACATCTGCTTTTTTAAATTAAACAAAGAAAAATTAATTGTAATAACTACATAGTAGCAATAAATACATAATTAAAATGCGATTTATAATCTTTGGCATAAAAATATGGAAATAAGATAAATATAAGACTAGAGAGAAGCTTATAAAATGCTCGTGTAAAATCAATAATAACAAATACATTATTCCTGCTAAAGTAAAACTATGAGGTGATGTAATATATTATTCTTTAAATAACTCTTTTTATACATGATTCTATCTGTTTCAATTGCAATGCCAAAGATTATAAAATAGAGAATTCTCTCGATTTGAAAAAAGAAATTATTGAAAAATAAATATTTCAACTATTTACATTTTAAATAAATATAAATGTTTTGTATCATTAATCAAGAATAAGATTTAATATCTGTATCAATGATATGCTGTGCTCAAAAAATTTTCATAAAAAAATTGAATTTCATGTATATATAATTTCTTGAATTATAAAGAGCCTACTTACGTTATTAATTATAATTTTTTTCATGTCATAAAATTTCATGTCACTTTAGAAGACAAGATCTTATCTTATCTGATACAACTTACGACATGTAGTTTTTTTTCTTTTCAGAATCTATTTTTAAATAATACTTGACACACAAATTTATATATATTATATCGAATTAAAGTTAATCCCTATCTTTTGGACGAAACACAATACTGACTAAATTAGCAGATTTCTACTTTCAACTAAATTTTTCTATCAATATAATAAGTTATTTATCAATTATCATCTTCTTTCGTCCTTTCTCTTTCAAGAAAATACTAGCAAAATGCAAGTACTTCTTAACGTCGGATATAAAAATATCTATTGTGTGTAACACTTTGCGTATGTATAAATAGGCTCTATATAATCTTTAGATTAACGTCGAGTGTGATCTCCACCCACAGATGTTAAATTAGGCGTATATGCAACTCCGCGAAGTGCTTGTCCAGGTGTTACAGACCTAGCAATTCCAGTCGCTAAAAAAAAGAAAAGAATAATCATATACTCATAATTTAAAATGACTATGCAATTCATTTTGAAACTGAATGTTCACATATAAGATGTGTAATTTATACTTTATCAAAAAGCTCTTTTATAAATCAATTACAAGTAAAATACCTATGAGCCTCCATGGTTGTTGATATATAAATAATATATTTATAAGGCGATAATTCGCAAACAATTGAGGCATATTTACATTTATTGAGATATATATTTAACAAAGTTAACTGCAAACATGACAATTTTTTATTTGAGTCCTTCTCAATGCAGAAGTCAAATACAAATTACTGATTTAATATATAGATATATTCAAAGATGTAATTTGTTAAATTATATACATGTATAATATATTGATATTTAAAAATATCTTACTTGGACCACTGACAGGAACACTGGACACTGTCGCAGTAGGCTGGACAACTTTACTGCTAACCATAGGTGTCCCTGTACCTAAGACTGCTCCTTTCACTGTGAAAAATATAAAAAATTACAAAAGATACAACTTCTTTATAATATCTAACGCATATTTTAAAGGCGATCTTGTAACCAAGTCCTTTCATTATATTCATATTATTTAACAAGATCTTCTTTGATACGCGTAATTTCTATTTTTATAACTTTGTGTACTTGTTTGTGGAGCACTAGCCGGCCTTAGCGTCGGCATGGCGACCAAGTTTGCTGGTTTTGCAGGCGGTGGTGGTGGAGTCGCGCAAACTCCCCTGGCAGGACCGCGAGTCTGCGACTCCTTCCAAGTGTCCATTTCGCCTCGTAATTTTTCTAATTCCGTTTCAAAATCCTTGGCTCTCTTTTCCTCTTTCACGAGGGCTTGCCGATATTGCTGCCTCTCCATATCGAATTGTGCTAATTGCTTCTCCAATTCCGCTTCCATCTGCAATGACTTTTTACTCTCTTCCTCGAGACCCTCAGCCATTGAATCTATCCGAACCTTCTCTTCACTGAGTATTTGAGCCAAATCCTCAGATCGTTTCCTCTCCTCAATGTATTTCATAATAATCTTTTTACGTTCTGCTAAGAGGAGCAGGACTATCTGTTTCTGTCGACTCTTCTCTTCCTCAAGATGATCGTTAATTTTCTTTAACTCCATCTCTAATCTTTTCTTTTCTTGTTTCTCTAATTCTAATTCCTTCTTTAATCTTGTCCGCTCTTTCTCAAGACCATAAGTGATATCGTCACCTTGAGCAGTATCATGTTCGTGCTTTCGCTTCTCTTCTTCCAATTCTTTAATTACCTAAAGATATTTATTCATAATGTAAAACACAATAATTATAAAACAAAAATAATTATAATAACACTATTTCGTAATATTATCTTACAATATTTGTGTTATATATTGCATATATTGTTACTACAAAACATGACAACAAATACGACAAAATAAGCGTACCGCTCTGTGCCTAATTTCTGCATCTCTAAGGACTTTAGTCATTCTACATTGCGCCTTTCTTTGTTGCGTCACTAGCGCTTCAAGACTAGCGACTTGTTGATCAATTTGATTTCCTTCAACACCAATAACACCACCTACTATCGCAACGTCGCGAGCTAATGCCGCATGTGGATCTGCAGTACTGCTAAGATACCGGGAACTTAGAAGGTGTTTCATTTTTTCTGACTGAAAGGAAAAATGATAGTAGTTATACAACAAGCCAAACGGCATTATGTAATATACTCTGAAAGTTAAGAGACACAATTAAAGAGCTCGTAAGATTAACACGTTTTTAAATAAATTCTTTATCTTTTATATCATTTAAAATGATATAAAAATGATACGGTGAGATATAATACCCAAGTGACAAGGTGACGTCAAATGACGTTTTTAATGTCAAAAAGATGTTATAAAAACGTCGTCTTGTTACTTGAGTAGTATACTGAAATAAATAAAAATATTAAATCTCTCACTGTGTATGTATATTTTTTACACACACAGTTATGATGTAATAATTTTATAACGTGTTATACTGTCCAAGCTGAAAAACTTGCTAGTTATAATTAAAACAGGAACATCACTACAAGGTTTTAAAAATTATACTTTAGTAACAACTATTTAGTAATTTTGATTACTTTTAATGCCGCTATCACTATATCTCTTGCTTGGAGCTCGCCTTCCAGATACCCCAGTAACTTCAGCAAATCAGTTTTGCTCAGCTCCATCTTTGGATTACGCTACAAATATGTATAAAGCAATCATTAAATTCCACAAATTTACATTAAATATAATTATCACAAATTAAAAGATATAGGCTCAAAAGATTAAGAAATCAAAACTAGATACAGAAAGGACTAAAGAGCCAACTCTTTAGTCCTTTCTTTTTCTCTTTGTACTCTCTGAATTCTTGGAGTAGACTCTCACTTTAAACAGTAAAAATTGAATTAATAAAAAGAATGGCTTAACTTTTAATCTTTAAGAATAAGATTTTAGTCTTCAGAGTGAGATTCACTCTGAAAGTTTTAAAGAGTATGTTAGTTTTGATACACATCACAGTTTTAACTAATGAACTATCACACATCACAGTTTTAACAAATACGCAAAGTCTTTTGTTTAACTCCAAGAAGAGATGTATGCCAAGAATATACCTTGAGAGTATTGGAGGAACTCTTGTCCAACGGTTCGATGTTGTTGGCTTGCTGTTGCTGGGATTGCGATTGTGAGGGCTGAGTGCCAGAGGTGAGTGCCTTCGCGGCCGAGATGGTGGCCGCGCTGGTCAGGACGGTGGTGCCCGGCGACGGCGCCGACGTCGACGGCGGCCCATTTGCCGTCGTAGTCGTCGTCGTCGTCGTCGTTGTCATTGCCGACGTTATACCGGGCGAGGAGACATTGACGGCGCCCTGATTCTGCGATGCCATCGTTGCGCTCTAACGTAGAGGGTACTCTATTTACCTACCGTCGACGAGGACGAGTGGTCGTCGTTGCCTCCTGGCTGCGGCGCGGCTCGGTAAGAGCGACCTTGTGAAACTCGCTTGCGCTTATTCGCTCGCTCGTTCGCACTTCGCCTGAGCGCGCCCCAAGCTGCTCCTACGTCGACTTCCTCACCCCTCGATCCGGAGATTCGCCACGGCCGTCACGGGACGCGCGAGCACCCCCGCCGGACACCCAGCGGCCCAGGACGCTCGCCACATCGCTGGCACGGGACCGATGGCCACGCGTTCCTCTTCTTCCCGTCGTCGTCGTCGTTGTCGTTCTTCTCTCCGTCTTCCTTGTCCTTCCTCTTGTCGCCGTCGTCGTCGTTCTCTCGTCGCCGGTACCTTGGTCGTTACTCCGGTCGTCGGGTCGACGCTTTACGTCGACAAAAACGGATTAACGTAGTGGCATCCGGCACGACGGGCTGCTCCGCCTCTCGCTTACGCTACGCTCGTTCCCTTGACAAATCAAGCGCACAAAGCGCAGCCAGCTCTACGGCACGGCCAAGCGAAATTCGATGGATCGTCCCCTCGTGAAAGGCGCTCCGATCTACCATCGATTCTGCGCCGGAGTCGGATATCGATTGGTCGACGATCGATCGAGTCACGGTCGCCGCGGCGAAATATGAAATGCCGACGACTTCATAGTTTACTATTTTTCTTTCTGACGCTCGACGCTCATTTTCAGCATCAAAATAGGGACCGAAATTGATACTAGACTAACTAGACAGTAAAAATGCATGATAAAAATCATATATATAGCGTCCACTTGAATATAAGTAATCTGACGCTGGAAGTTTAATAGAATAGTGTTTCTATAATAGGAACACTGTTTTTTATATATATATACAATGTTCAATACTATATATAGTGTACTATATATAAATTATTATTATAATAGTTCTATATAGTAGTTCTATAACAGTAATATTTTATTATACAGTATTTAAGGCCATTGGTTACGTTTACACCGTGCGCTTAGTCCGCGACCTATATAATAGGTGTCTTTGTTTAACCTACAGGATAAACAAGGACATCTATTGTATAGGCCGCGGTCTAAATGCACGGTGTAAACTTAGCCATTGTCACAAAGCTTCGATTAACTTAGTCGGCCTAGTAACTTTGCAGGCTTCCAACTTGCCTGGTTTATGCTTCGGTCTTAACTCTAATATCCTAAAATTCAGCCAATAGGGCTGAATGAAATAAATTCTGCCAGTTTTAACTAGTTCTAACTGAAATCTGTATTCCATTGGCTAAATTTTAGGATTTTAGGATTAAGACCGAAGCATAAACCAGGCAATAGGCTGATGTCGGAGAATTAATGTGAGCCAATGCGAGCTGAATAATGCGAGCTGAATTAATTCTCCGACATCAACTGAAGTTGGAAGCCTGCAAAGTTACTAGGCCGACTAAGGCCGGTATTCATAGTCGATTCTTATTTAAAGACCGTCTTAAGTAATATCTTAAGATGCCAATGCGGCCCTCTGATTGGTTCGTGACACCTCAAGACAGAGCTTAAGACGATCTTAAATATAAGAACTGACTATGAATATCGCCCTAAGTTTCATCGAAGCTTGGTGACAATGGCCCTTACTAAGCTATTATTTACAGTGTTTCTATAATTATAGGAACTCTAGATTTATACAGGATGCTCTCAAACTCAAATGAATTTAGAACTTCAATCGAAACAAAATTTTCCTTTGGAGGTTTGCTCGAAAATGCTAATTCGTTCAAGAAATATTAACTTCTTAAGTTACAGAACTATAGGAATAAAGATAATTCTTTATAAAAACTTGTACCTAGCATGGTATAGTGGTAAACTATGTCCGCCTTAACCCATATATAGCACAGAATTTGCAGCAATATCGCTGCAAAATCTCTGCAATATTGCTGCAACTTTTGTGCAATTTTGTGCTGTAGGGGGAACATCTATTAAGACAGACATGATTTATTATTACCATTATATTTAATTACAGTAGAATAGTTGACATGGAATTCTTTTCGATAGACAACAGTATTTTATGTTAAGTAGAATCAGCTGATTTAATTTATATTGAAGAAAACTCGGGTGCCTTCCGACACGCAACACAGTGCGACACAGTGATCGTGTCATCTTTGTTTAACATTGGCAAACAACAAGGATGTAATGATCCATTGTGTCACCCGTGTCATTTGTGTCGCTTGTTGGAAGGCACACTATAAGTCGAAACATCTATATTTTTGGTATGTTACCTTATTGTTAAATAATTATTTCAAACATCATTGTATGTTCGTTCATTTGGTCGGTCTTGTAATTAAATTGTTTTGCGAACTTCGAGCGATATTTATATTCTTTGTTATTAATTTGATCGATTAATTTGAATTAGTCGCGCGATAAATGGAGCAATTTCCTACAGTGCCCTCTTCCACGGATAAAAAAGGCTGTTCACCGCAACGACATCTCTCGTTCTTTATCACAATAATAGAAAAAAAACGAAGGAGACCTAGGAAGTGGGGAGAACCGTCTGGTCGGTCGGAACCGTCGTATGCATATGGTGCCATTCGTATTTGTTATCGTTGGTGTTATGCGGATGGTGCTGTGGGTGCTGGTCGCGGTATAGTCTCCCCCGCGGTGCGAAGCGCAGGATGGGCAACCAGGTGGCACGCGTCGGGAACGCGTCGCATAGGAAGGTGGAATCCGCGACCGCGGCAGGCGCCGGTAACGGGAATCACGGTGCGAACGTCACTACCTCCTCCACCGCCGCCGCCGTCGTCTCCAAAAGCGAGCCGGACCATCACAACTCTCACACGCAGTTCTTCCCGATCGAGAACCTCGCCAAGGTACAACGGCCCGCTCGATCGGTTTCAAATCGTCCTCAAATAGTAGGCTGTACTCTTGGTGCCCTGGAAAATCGTTCGGGAAAAACTTGGGGCGATACGACATCCTCTGTTGCTAAACATTTCTACAGCTGTTTGGGAGAACGACAAAAACAATCTCTTTCCACCCGGTTTTTTAAATTATTTTCTTCATATTGACATATTTTTTGTCTGCACTGCAACTCGCAGAAGTCATGATTGAAGTGTTCCTTGGATTAAATTTTAATATATTTATAATTAATAATATTCCTAATACTGATATTGTATATTTTGCAGATATTGTCGCATCTCGCTCACCAAGAGGCACACGTTAATGGCATTACCAAGTCTATATTTGAAAAGTACTTATTTCCTACTCATCCTGAGCTAAGCGAGAAGCTCTTTATTTATCTACACCACAATGCTCATGCCACAACTGCATATATAAGTACAACAGCTTTCAAGCAGCAATCTGAAAAATTTTTGTCCGTAATGAACGATCAAGCTATACTGGAGAATTATGTAAAAATATATTCTGACCTAAAGAATGGTGGCAATGTTACTCCCGAAACGCTGCGAGCATTATTGACATCTTGCTACCAGCTGGCAATGGAAAGCAATAACACCAATTCGTGCCTTCATTCGCAACAGATAATAAATGCAGTTGTCATTTCATGTGTTAGTAAATTATTCTTTTAATTATATATGCAGAAATACTATAAATGTGTACTTGCAATTTAATTATTGTACAATGTAACTATTCACAAGTATATAAGCACAGAATTGGCATTTTTAATGAATAACTTATATCATTAATATGCGATCTATAATTATTAGATCTACGAATATTTTACAGTTTCACGGCAAGACTAGCTTGTCTACGAGTTACGTGAGCAATTGGATCGGGCAGCACTGCCCACGCCTTGTGTACGGCCTACAGCGATACGTAGTACACGTGTTAACAACTGCTTATCGCAATGGTAAAGCGCTTCTGTCGAAAGAGCAGCCGCAACCTTCCGTAGATATACTTACTCCTGTATTGGAAAAATCCGATCAAGAGTTCCCTCAAGTGGACTTGTTGCCGATAAGCTATGTCTGGCTGTTGTCGTGTACACTACCTCAGTGTTACCTCCAGGTATGTTGTTGCAGAGCACGCAATACTAATAATTGATACTATTATGTCCTGCCCGTAAAGTATTTTGCATAAAGAGATTAATTATATTCCATAAGCTTACAATTAGTATTATATATATAATTGGATCTATATATCTATGTGCGTGATGTGTATGTGTAGACCAACGATTCACCGAAGGACATAACTCACGCTTTGATAGCCAGAAGAACAGGCAGTATTTGTCCAAAGCATTGGACGTTACTGTACAATAGCGGAGAGCATGGGACTGGGGCTAATCGCTTCCTTCACCATGTATTAGGTTACAGAGGTCCCACTCTGCTAATTATAAGAGTCGCTAGCATAGAGAAGAATGGGGAATGTCCGACGTATTGCGTATGCTCGGCCGTCGAGTGGCGAGAAAGTCATCTCTATTGGGGCGACGAAGACTCGATAGGCATTCAACTGATTCCGTCCTATAAAATCATGGAGAAAGGTCCGAAAGTACTATACTTAAACACGAATATCAGAGGCTACCCACATGGCTTACGATTCGGTAGCGATCCTCGTTCGCCGCTTATCAGTATCGACGAATCATTCCACTCGGTGACTATCGCCGGCGCGCCTTATCGTATCGCCAGTTTAGAAGTCTGGGGTTGTGGCGATACGAAGCTAAGGTAATGTCTTGCAAACTGTGAAATGAAATCGCTTGTTGACGCAAGGAGTGATAACGAGACGCTATTACATTTGTAGAGAGAAGCAATTGGAGATTAAGAAGTGGCAGGTGAAAGAAGCAGAGAAACAGAGGGTCGTCAAGTTAAGTGCGAGCGATTGGCTGGACCATCCTGATCGTTATTTACTAGAGTTGGCCGGCAGAGCTTCTTACAACGAATCTAACAATTAGAGCCGCGAGAAAATAATGTGCGTGCTCAAATAAAACTGCTCATATTATTACTTTATTATTTTATTCTGTACATATGTATATAGCGTCAAAGATATTATCATCAGAATTTCTGTACTTATGTGGTGTACGAAGAACGTACGTATGAAATGTGATTATGTGACTTATGTGAAATACAGGGACTTATGCTTGACGTACTTAAGCACAAGTGCCAGTTTGTAATTGTCTAATTTTCTTTTTTCAGTATTTCCTTATAAAACGTTATTTTTTATATTTTATAAATACCTTTCGTTTAATGGATTTATTTATGAAAAGACTATTTTTTTGAAGTATTTTTCTAAAATTTTTTTAATTTACTATTTTAGAAATTATGTTTTTATCTGATTTTCGCAAAATAAATTGGTAAATTTTATTTTAATAATCAACTTGCATTGTTTCTGATATATTTATATTAAAAAAAATACGCATATAAAGTTGAAAATAAATATATTTTTATACAAAATCTCGTACATACTTATATATCTCGCATATTTGTATATTTCGTAAAGTTTTCGTTGATTGTGCGTGATGCTATTTTATGAAACATTAACAAAATGCAAATATTAGTTTATCAATCTGTTTTTCATTGTTACAAAAAAATCATTCAATTAGTCCTTGAATTCTTTATCGCAATTGTCAATTCTACGAATGAGACTTTTCCAGCTAAAGTCTTCCTCGCCATCTTGCAAATTTATCACATTCTTCTCCTCGATGATGTCAAACAGGTTTTTAAATGGCATATATCTAAGTAACGTGACTTTATCAGCGATTATAATCAGCTTGTGCCTTGCACGAGTGATGGCTACCGTCAAACGTCGCTGATCATCCAATATCTCAAATTCTTTCTTCGTGTCGCATTCGACACTCTTCGTACACGAGTACAGTATAACATCCTTATCACGTCCTTGATATTGATCTACGGTGTTTACTTCCACTTCTTTATCTATGACCTTTTTTAATAAATTTATATGAGCATTGTAAGGCGCAATAATTCCTATATTTCTAGCGCACACGCCCGCCTCAGTGAGCACTTGGACGAGACGCAAAGTAATAGCGACTTCCCAAATGTTGGAGTACATTTGATCCAATATAATGTCTCTGCCAGATTCTACATTCAAATTGTAAGTGCTACCAGTATTGAGCATCACCACCGAATCATCCAAGTTCCTGGAGAGCGCACTTCTCACCCATCTCTCGCAGGACGAGAGAACTTGCTCCATATTCGTGCCAGTCAAAGTCGCATTCTCCACCTGCTTGTTGCCGGAAACTAGCTTACCGCGATAGGTCGCTTCATTGGCTAGCCTCATGATCCTTCCATTCATTCTGTACTGCTTCCACAGATTGACGGTGTTGTCGTTACTATCTAGCCTAATGAACAGAGATTCGTCTGCGCCAAGTTTCGCGGCAGTCTTGTTCTTGATGATGGGTGGCAGCTGATCTGGGTCTCCGACGAGGATAAACTTGCGTGCGCTGTATAACGGTCGCAGTACCGTGGGCAACATGATTTGCGCGCTTTCGTCAACCACGCACACGTCGAACCTGCGTCTCCTAAGGAGCGCGTGATACGCGCCATAGCAAGTCATGCCGACAATGCGTTTGCTGTTATAGAGTGTCTCCAGGTCCTCCGGCGAATCGCAACTCGCAAGCGCGTATTCTTCGTTCTTGCACGTCAATAAAGGATGGATCTGCTTTGTCGAACCGAGACGCAGAAAATCGATGTTCCGTTCCAGCAGCTTGAGAAGAATGTTGTCTACCGCGCTGTGCGTGTGCGCGGTAATTAGCACGCTGGAACCCAACTCCTGCAGCAACTCTATCAGAGCTACCAGCGTTTGCGTTTTCCCCGTTCCTGGCATACCTTTTATCAGAATGTACTCTTGGGCAGCTACTGCTTTCAGCACGGCTCTCTGTTGATTCTCGTTTAGATCGCTTATTATCTTGGCGCTAACTGACACCACCGAACGGGGTAATTTTTCCACAAATGTAGCCGGTCTCCTATCGATGATGATGCGTCGAAGCTTTACGTACATTTCATCATTGTTCAACAGACCGGCTATGTTCGCGTAATTGAACGTAGATAGACCCGTAGAAGGGTATTTATCAATATGAAATGTAGAGTTTGCATACAACTGAGTAATATCTTTGTCCAATAGGACCTTAACGATGTCATGCGAAACGTGCATTATATATCCGGCAGCTATATTAACTCGTGCGTCCGTGCTAACAATAATATAACTGTTCTCGGTGAATGTACCACTAAGTACACCATTCTCGATAGTTTCCCCCTTAATGTTTACGCGTGCAAACTTGTGCTGATATCTATCACCTTGCTTTACCACCTTGTCGACAATCTTCAAGTTGCAGATACATGTTCCTTTCGCCTCCCTCTTCTCGGCACTTGTCGTCCATACGCTGCTTAAACTGCTATTATTGTTCTCGTAACTTTCTTCCAATTGCAGTAATGCGATCCACTTCATAATATAATCCAAATGACTAGTCTCAATGTTGTCCTGCACTTCTTTAAGTAGCGCTGTTAACGGATGCGACAGTGACAAATTCGCGTTTGGGTCTCTCGCTAGATATGCACAGCACAGAGTCTGATAAGAACATCTGCTGCATGCACTGTGATGATTTATCGGTTCAGGCAATTCCATCGCCTTTAGGTCCGACTCCGAGTTTATGCTCCGTAGATCTTCGGGTTGTTTAGCGAAATAATGCGCCAAAGTATTTCGCAGCAGTATCAAGTCTCTCTTCTCATGATGTCTGCTCTTAATTTCCTGCATCGCGTTTTCCTTTAGGTATAACAGAAGTCCAGTATCGATATCTTGATCTCTGAAACCCATCATCATAAGATAGAGAATAACTTGGCCCTTGTGTTCGAGAGAGTAGGAGGCTCTTCCAGTTTTCAACTCCAGAGGCATGATCTTCCTTCTCGAATTAATATTCACCTCCGCCGTCACATCTATCCTTCCCTTTATGCCCAGCTGCGGTATATAAACTGTCTCCTCAATGTCCTGTATGTTATTAATACTCCCTTGAAAGTTGTCCTTTAAATTGCTTATGTGGTGCTGTTTGTTACCCACGATATAATGCTGAATGAACTTGAAAATTTCCGGAGCATACTCCATCATACGTTTCCGACAATCAGCAAGCGACATTTCTGACGCGTAGAGATAGTCTATCGTGTCCTTTGATCGTAATATATCATCCAACAGCTTGATCACGTCGGATAGGGCGCAGATATTCTCTTGCAATGCCTTTTGCAGCCACTGATGAACCAAAGATCCCACGGTCATCACGGAATAATCGGCGTTCAAATCTGGTAGCGACTCTATTTTCCTGAACTTCTCAGTCAAAACCGCTCGCCTGTTGCAAAATAAACCACCCATTATTGTTGTGCCAGATATTAACAAATCAGGTTGTGTAACAAGAAAGCCGTTATTATTATCTACAACCCATTGTCGCGAACCCTTTGTGGCCTGTATCGTTACAATATCGTTAATCTTTACTTGTGCATCTTTCCAAAATCCTGAACATGCAACAATGTCAATATTTTCAGATTTCAAGTGCTGTACCGTTAAAACAGTGACTTTCAATTCGTGCTTCACGTCAATTATTTTACACCTTTCAAAGGTGGTAAAATTAATCTGCGCATGCCATTCTTGATCAAAGAAATCATTAAGCTCTTCTCCATTTATCATTACAGAAAAGTCTTCGAAAGATTCTGTTTTCTTTAAATCATGTAATTTAGCTTTTTCATGCTCAGATGTTTCTACAGCAGACTTTAAAGTAACAATATTTAAATCTTGTTCTTTAAGAACATGACTATTATTATGAGTAACATCTGAAACATTTATATTTTTAATGACAGGATTTTGTAAAATATTTACACTTTGCTCGCTTTTTACTGTAATATCACCTTCCTTTTTAACTTTTTGAAGCACTGTATCTTTGCATGTAACTTCATTTTCCTTAAAATTACTATGCGGTTCTTCAAAGTCTTTCAATATAGATAATAATACTGAATCATTATGTGATTCGAAATGTTCTGTCTTTATAGTACAACGTTCTTTCAGTGACTCTTCACTTATATTACATTTCTTTTTGCTCACATAGGATTCTTCTTCAAAGGCGTCATCTCTTTCCTTCCTTTTTCTTTCGATCGTAGTTTGAAATAAACAGTTTTTATCTGATACAACCTTATTGTCGTCTATCACAGCTTTTGGAATTTTTGTAAAAAACGATGATATTTTTGTCTGAGATTTATCGACATTATTAGAAATCTGCAAGAAAACAGAGAAAATTCTGGAGTAGTTTATCACACAAATTCATTTGTCTATCCTTCACATAAATACAAATTACTAATGTATTGCTACCTTCTGTTTTAACTATGCTAAATGTCTTCCTAACAAACATCAACATTCCTAATAATAATATAACTATTAGTTATAATTTCCGAACAATAATTAATTACAGTATATACAGTAAAGTATAACATAATGTTTAACAGGGCTGTGTTCAGAATTATCATCTAGGTGCACCCAGATGTTTTTTTTATCCTTGTTTAACATTCGTGAACAAGGATAAAACGACATCTGGGTGCATCCAGACGATTCTGAACACAGCTCAGTTATATAATACATAACAGTTATATTATCAAATAGAAAATACTAAGTAACAGTTCTTCTGCTATCCAGAATAGTTTTCTGACTTACAGTAAACTAATAATTATGTTATATATTATTAGTTGATATTTGTTGGATGGAATCTCTTCTAAAATTCAGAACCGAAAGAAACATTTTAAAGTGTTATTATTTCATAATAATTTTCAGTATTATAATATAAAAACTGGAAGTATATAAAAACAGAAAGATAGTAATGATTATCAATATGTAGATGTAAGTCGTAAATAAATAAAATACATTGTATTTACCTTTCTCTGTGATAATTGACGTTTCTTCATATTGCGTGTAATAAGCACGAAGTGACTCTACATGTATTTTATAAGTGTCAGATTAAAATGCCGTCAACTTGTAGCTTAATACTTGCGTTAGGCATAGTGGAGTCTAAATCCTATAGATATCTTATCTTAAGTCCTATCAAATTCTATGCAGAATTTTCGTTCCCGCGCAAACATTTCTCATGAATATCGCCATCAATCGCCATTTCAATCATGAGGTGCCATAAGGCTCGTTTCTTTTAGCTGAACTTCTTGCACCGTTCATCTTTTTTCTTTTTCTCTCCAGAGGCGTGTTCCGATTCCGGGTGCTCTTCGGGTGTCATACCGTCCTTGTTTAAAGTTTGTTAAACAATAAGGATAAGATGATACCCAGGGAGCACCGATTCCAAACATGTCCCAACGTGGAGAGAATAGGAAGAAAGATAAAACGTGTAAGAACTTTTAGCTAAAAAGAACAGACCTAAATTTGTTTCTCTTTAATGCTGGATTCACAATGTATCCAATCAGAAAATAGGATTCCGATAATACGAAGCAAAATTCATCGGAATCCTGTTCTGATTGGTTGCAGAGCGTCAGACGACGCAAATCGG